CCTCGTAGCAGCACGCTGCAGCTGAGCACCTCTTCTCTCCCACAGATCATCGCCCCGCCTGAGCGCAAGTACTCTGTCTGGATTGGAGGCTCCATCCTGGCCTCCCTGTCCACCTTCCAGCAGATGTGGATCAGCAAGCAGGAGTATGATGAATCCGGACCCTCCATTGTCCACCGCAAATGCTTCTAAACCGGACTGTTACCAACACCCACACCCTTGTGACAAAATGAAACCCATAAATGCGTGTAAAACAAGACAAGATTGGCATGGCTTTATTTGTTTTTTTTGGCGCTTGACTCAGGATTAAAAAACTGGAATGGTGAAGGTATCAGCAGCAGTCTTAAAATGAAACATGTTGGAGCGAACGCCCCCAAAGTTCTACAATGCATCTGAGGACTTTGATTGTACATTTGTTTCTTTTTGTAATAGTCATTCCAAATATTGTTATAATGCATTGTTACAGGAAGTTACTCGCCTCTGTGAAGGCAACAGCCCAGCTTGGAAGAGCCGATACCAGTTCCTGGTGTTAGGTTGTAAACGCTTGTCTGTAAATTATGTAATCCAACAAGTGTCTTTTTGTATCTTCCGCCTTAAAACAAAACACACTTGATCCTTTCTCTTTGATTTGTTCAGCGAGCGGGCTGTGTTCCCCAGTGATAGATGTGAATGAAGGCTTTACAGTCCCCCCTGCCTAGGAGAAGTGCCAGTATGCGGGGGAGAGAGGGGCTACCTGTACACTGACTTAAGACCAGTTCAAATAAAAGTGCACACAATAGAGGCTCGACTGGTGTTGCTGGTTCTTTCTTTATTCTTGACGGTTGGTACCTGCTCTGATCTTGCTATGCCAGGCTGCGGGGGTCGGCTATCGCGCTGGGGTGGGAGCCAGGTGGCTGCTGGTGATATGGGGAGCAGGAGTTTGGCTCCTGGGCTGGAGATCCCCAGCTGGTGCAGGGGCGGGCAGGGCATGGTGCTCCTGGAAAGAACGGGTTTTGGTGGGCATCCAACCCCTCCAAAAGGCTGCCTGTGCTTTTCTTCCCTCATTTTCCAGTGGAGCAGCTGGTTTCTCCCTGGGATGGAACTTCTCCCTGGGACAGAGCTGCTTTGGTGTCCCCACACCGGGTGTGTGGCCTCTTCTGTTTTGGGGTGTCTCCTGCCAAGCAGCTCGCTCTGCTTCACCCTGCTCGTGGCCCAGGAGCGAGGGAGGCCTGAGCTGAGGCTGGGAGACTCATGCTCTGGCAGGCTGCCGGCTGGGTGGAGGCAGTGAAAGCCTGTGAAGTGGATGAAATGGACTCAGCGCAGGGCCACGGGGCTCTTACACAGGGGTGGAGCAGGGAAAGGGCGCAGCGAGGGAGCTCTCCCTTGCGCTCTGACACCCAGGGAAAGCGGGGCCGGCTGACGCTTTGCGTTCCCAATTCCCAGCCCAGGAGCTTGGAGCCTGGCTCGCAGGCACGCTGCCTTCCCCAGGCTCCTGCAGCCTTGCCCGGCTTTGAAGAGCTAATGGCTGCTGTGCTGGTGTCACGCTCGCAGCAGATGAAAGGCAGGGAACAGGCTCCGTGGGCTCTTTAATCCTCCGCTCTGCCCTGATCCTGCTCCGGCGTCACGCTGCGCTCGGGGTGGACCTGCTGGTTTCTGCCCTTTGTCTCCCCAGCCTCCCTCCTGGGCTGTAGGTGCAGACACTGGGCCGGGCAGACTGGAAGTTACTGGAAGCACCAGTTTGCCACGGGGGAGGTGGAACTGGTTGGTTGGAGCCTAACTGGGCTCATAACCCAGGGTTCTGGGGAAACGGGGCGAGGAGGAGGCAATGGCAGCTGCTGGGGGTGGGAGCAGGGCAGGAAAAAGGCCAGGAGGGATGATGAGAGGGAAACGGGGCGCCAGCTCTGCTCTCCTGCCCTCGGTCCTCCTGAAGCAGCCTCTGATCGCTGCGGAAAAATGCGTTGAGACACAAAGAACCGGAGGGGTGGTGGCGGAGAGGAGCTCAGGCAGGGAGAGGAGCGGGTGCAGAGAGAGGGACAGCACTGGGCAGGGAGCAGAGCTGATTTTACACACTCCAAAGGGCAGAAAGCGACGTTTTCTCTCCGTTAACACTTTGTGGGGTTTTCTTTTTTCCCTTCTCCCAGCTCTCTCACTGCTCCTGGCGATCAGCCCCGTGGTAAAGCGAGGCCGGGGGTTTTGCAGCCTTCCCCGACACTTCTCGGACGCGAGGCGTGCACAGCTCCTCCGCCGGCCGCTCCAGCAAGGCTCGCTTGCTTTATGCCTCCTTTGGGCCATTACATGCTGGAGAAAAGAATGCGGTGCCGGGCAGGGCGGCCTGCGAGCATTACTCACTGCTCCCGACCCCGGCGAGCAGGGGGGAGCCGGCTGGTTTCCTCTGAGGAACACCAGGCGCTGGAGAAGGGGGGATTTTTATTTTTATTTTTTGGCTGCAGCTTCTCCATCGTTGTTCGTTTCCCTACACAGGAGTGGGGATGTGCCAAGGGACAGGAAGGGTGGCGGAGGAGTTTCTTTAGCCGTGTTCTGGCTCTTGAGGCCTCCAGCAGCAGGCGAGGCTCAGAGGAGAAGACATGCAGGGAATGAGCCGTCAGGTTGCCACCTCCTCCTCCTCTCCAGCACCCAAGCGAGCCAGGGTCTGTGTGGGCACCAGGAGGTTTGGAAAGACCACCAGGCCGGGCTGAGCTCCCCCTGCCTGGCTCAGCACCCGCGATGTACCAGGATTTCTCTGGTGGAGCAGACAGTGGGGCTCGGCCGAGGCTGGTTGCAAGCCACCCAGCCCTCTCTTGCTTCCCTTTAGCTGCCCAGGGGGAGCTGGCTCAGCTAAAGAGAGCTGAGCAAACACGTTTTACGCCCTTTCTTCCCTTAGAGCTCCCAACTTTCGCTCGGGCTGGAGACAGTCACTGGCACTTCACCTGCAATTAGCTGGTGACCTGGAAAGTCACCTCCCTGAGCCGCTTACGGAATCAAGCCGCCACCAGGAATTAGTGATGTCCTTGGCAAAGGGGAATGGCTGCAGCTCTCGGGATTTAGCCCTGAAGGGCCTCCTTGTGTGGTTGTCTCCGAGCCTTGTCGGGCAGCGCTGGCCAGAAACGGCCCCCCCCAGGTCAGGGGGGCCCCATCCTCTCATTAGAGAACATGCACTGCAGCGTGCTGGCTGCATGCAAATATCCCAGGAAGTCCCAGGGCATTCAAACACAACTTGTCTCCTCCTGGAAGTCCCCTCCGAGGGCACAAAGCCTCAGCTTCATAAAAAAAAAACGGGCTTTCCGAGGTGTCAGCTCATGGATGGGACTGTGGCCGGAGGAGGAGGAGTTGTCCTGCTCTTTGAAGTGAGGGATTGCTGACCTGGAGCCTGCCCTGACTTGCATTATACCCATCTGTAATCTCCTTTAGCAGGCCTTACCGCATTAAATCGTATCAAGCACTGAAAACCACTTACAGCACTGCAGATGGCAGTTCACCCGAGCACACCAAGTGCTCTGGCCACTGGGCTTTCGTCACGCTAACAAAAAAAAATGAGCTGTGCAGACTGTATCAGTGTTAAGAACCCGGGGAGGGAAATGACCCAAGAGTTTCCCAGGGAAAAAAAATAAAATAATAATAATAATCACCAGGTCAGCCCGGCCATGAACAGTTAAGAGATACTGTACAGGACACCATATCTTGATATTAGCACTAGATTTGTTTGTTTGCCCTCTTGGACCGGGACAGCATGGTATGTGCTTGCCTTCTTTGGGCTAAGAAAACTGCATTAGTCAGAGATGATCAAAGTCTGCTCTGAGACAGCCCAGCAGTGAAAGGAACCTGCCTCCGTGGGAGGTTCCCATGGGCCAACACTGGGACGAGTGCTCCTGAGCAGCAGGGAAGGTTTCTCCTCTCACCTGCTGGCCATCAGCATCGAGAGAAATGCCAGGGTCCAGCGTGGCTGTTGGCTTCCTTCCTCCTTTACAGCCCACCCCATGTCCTGCTGCTGCCTTGCGTTCAGCCTCGTGTCTTATCTACACCGCCACATTGTTCATCGTGTGGCGGGTCCTCAGTCGGAGCCCAGCTCCTCTTACAACTGCTGGGAGCCTGGGGAGGTTCCTCAACCTATCTCAGATCCCATTCGAGGCTGGCAACAGCTGTCTGGTCCACAAACGCCCCAGGACTGGAAGAAACCCATGGCTAGTCCTAACGCAGGCTGCTCCAGTCAGTCTGGCTCTCCAGGCAGGGCTTTTTCTCTGCTTATGGGCCCTGCTCTTGATCTTATTTACATTTGCACTGGAAATGCAGGTCTTTCTCCACCCCGGTCCCTGCTTTCCCCGATGACTGCAAATACAGCAGGTTGGTATTCAGCCCAGATGTCAAACGAGTCAGTCCTGACTGCAGGGCCTCTGGATTTAATTTGTCATTATCTTCTGTGTAACTGAAACACAGGACAAACAGCAGGCACCGATTCTCTTATGGAGGCTCTCCCTCATCTGAGGGTTAAGAGGGGGTTTCCTCTCCAAGCCCAGACCCTGCTCACAGGCCTGGAAGCAAAACAGGTAACCAAGACCCGAGGCGCTTGATATTTCTAAGCCAAAACGCCAAACCACCACTAATCTCACTCATGGCCATAAATGGCAACAATCAACCAGGAAGAAAGCAGCAACCTATTCATCTTCCTTTGTGGGTCATCTTTAAAACACATTTTCTATGAACAAAATTCCCCGAGCACACACGTAACTGGAAATTCCAGCGCTCCAGTCCTGTCTGTACTTGAGATTTGGGAAGAGGAGCTGACAGCGGGAGTGCTGAGCCAGCTGGTCCCAGTGGACGTTCCTATATGTGCTTGCAGCACCTCGGGGTGACTTCTGCATGGCCACCCGTGTGGGATTTGCCTCACACCTGCTGCCAGGGGGGGAAAATTCAGTCTCATCAGCACCCAGGTTATGCTCATTGCATAAATGACCTGCGAGGTTGAAGCCAGCTGGTTTATATAAGGGGTTTGGGGGGGGGGGGGGGGGGATGCTTTGGAGGGCAGGGGATAGTACTGATGTTGGGATCTTGTTAGGATCACATCCTTTAGTGCTCGGGGTGTCACCCCAAGCTGCTCCCAGCCTACAAAACCACTTTGGACAGGGATGGGATCATTTGCCTGCTGCCTGCACTGAAGGGCAGGGCACTAATACAGCAAATGCCCCTCAGGCTGCAAAATACCCCACTAGGGTGACTGGCCAAGCCCTCCATGCCCCGTATGCTGCTGTTGGCTGAGTCACGGCTGGGCACAGGGCGGATTTTCACTCAGGGAGCAGCCTCGAGGTTTCATGGGGCGCGGGCTTGTCGTGAGTCAGCCGCTGAGGTGGCGGAGGAGACCGGGAGGAGGCAGGGAGGCTGCCCTGCTGGCTCGGCTCTCAGCACCACCAGAGCCGGGCAGAAGTGAAGAAACCAGTGTTTAATTTCAACCTCGGGGCCGTGCTTAATTTAAACCTCGGGGCCGAGCCCTGTAAACCGGAGGGGGGGCGAGCAGCGAGCCCCGCACCCCGCTGTGAGGGAGGCAGCGCCCAGCCGCCACCCCCAACATGGCGGCGGCGCCGCGCTCAAGATGGCGGCGGGAGGCGGCCGCCCCCTTCCCGCGCTCCCGCCTCAAGATGGCGGCGCGGGGCGGCGGAGGAGTGGCGAGGCGCGGAAGCCGGGTCATGGCAGCGCCGGAAGAACCGAGCGGCGGCCGGGCCGGCGAGGAGCCAGGCCGGGAGGCGGCGGGTTTGAGCGGTGGCCGGTGTGGCGAGGGGACCGCCGCCGCCACCGCCGTCATGTTCCGCTGTGGTGAGGTGAGGTGCGGAGGGGCCACTCCCCGGCCTCCGAGCGCCGGTATAATCGCGGCCGGCGCCGGGATGGGGGCAACCGGGCTCCCCTCAGGGGCTGGAGCCGGTCCCCGTGGTGAGGGGGCTGCCCTTGGGGCTGGGCTGAGCACCCGGTCCTCAGGGGTCGCCCTCCTGTAGGGATGCGCTGTGGGGTTTTGTGGGTGTTGCGGCTTGGTGCCAGGGCATCCCCTTCCCCTTCAGGGGCTGGCATTGCGTTAATTTCCACTCGAGCTTCGTTAAAAGCAGGGTTTAAGCCCCAAAACACCGCCTCGGTGCGATGGGGTGGACTAGGGGCCAGGCAGGAGCATCTGGGGGGTGATGGAGGGGTTGTGGGGTGAGGGAGGTTTGGCACGGTTATGGTGTGGTGTGGTGCAGAAGAGATGGGGTACCCGATCCTGGGCTTTAAACCTGCAGGTTTATTATTATTTTTGATATATACGAGCAGTTACATAACTCGTAAGGTTACTGGAATGGATTGCTCTTTGGGGAGGGATGTGAGAAGGGATTGCTGGGTTATATTCTGAAAGGATCGCTTTTCCAAAATGATGCTTTTCCAATTGCAAAGTCAGTGACAGAGGAGGAACAAAGGTAAATGTTTTATTTTTTAAGCAGCCCACAGCAAAAAAGTGACTAAAGATACTGTGGCTTTGTGTGAAGTTTTGCACCACCTCAGAATGGTCTTTTGAAGGAGAGGTTTGGGTTTCTCAAGGCAGGGGGGAAGTATTTAATGATTCAAGTGGTTCTGTTTTATCTTTATAAACCCTACTGAGACACAGAGTATCTGTTTTCTCACAAGCTTTGCTGAAGTCTGTGAACTGGTAGCCTTTCTTTTTTTTTCTTTTTCTTTTTTTTTTTCTCTTCCAGGAGCTTGTAAGTGGGGAGAGCGAGGAGGAAAGTAATGGTGTCAACCTGATGGAGTTCTCGGATGAGATCCTTTTGCACATCCTGAGCTACGTCCCTTGCACAGACCTTGTCCTGAATGTCCGGAAAACCTGCAGGAAACTCGCAACGCTTTGCCTTGACAAGAGCCTAACCCATACAGTTTTACTTCAGAAAGATTATAAGGTGGGGAGAGTAGCTTGCTTCTTCTGTTAGCTGTGACGACAAGTCTGTGTTCTGAAAAAAAGCCAAGAAATAGAGTATTTCAGTGTGTCTGCATAAATGTCGTGCTGTTGAACTCCGAAAAACAAATAAACTGTTTTTATAAAAGCATTTGTTTTGCAGAATGCTTTGTTAGGACAGCTCTGTGCTCCCTTAGATGGTTTTCACTGATGTTATTTTATATATCTTCCTTTCTGGAGGCCAAATGAAAGTAAACTTGACTTGCCATTTATAGCTGCTTTTGACTATGGCTGTATGAAGATACCATTTTCCCAAAATACATTTTCCTTGCTGTTGTACAAAGAAATCTATGTGAGCAGAAAAACTTGTGCATGCTGCTGTCAGGCATGCAGTCAGCTAAGCAGGAAAATGTATTTGAATTGTAACAAAAATAAAGCTTAGGAATGAAGGGTGATACATGTTATGAGGACTGTATCGCCAAGCCTAAGCTTCTCTTCCTCATTTCCAAAAGAAGAAAGCCGATGAAGGAGAATGAAAGCGTTCTTTGAGTTTCCATAGATAATTCTGCTGAACTAGTTTTGCTGTTAGAAAATGGAGATTGTCCTCCGTTCCGCTATCAGCTGCTGAACAGATTTTGGCCTCGCAGTCAGTAATGCAGAACTGCGCAGCCTGAGAAGCTAAAGGAAGTGTAATCTTAAGAGGTCAAAGCATGGCAGATTAAGCGGTGCTTTAATGATTCTTAGGCTGTGCTAGTGTTCCAAGGCCCTTGGATGAACCACGTAATCTAAGTGCTAGCCAGTGTTAACCCCATCTTCAGATGGGAAACTGAGTCAGTACACACTTGCCATATATCTCATTGAATCTGGTTTTGTTTGAGCACAGGTAAACAAAGACAAAGTGAAGCAACTGATGAGGGATATCGGAAAAGAGATTTACCAGCTGAACATGGCTGGGTGCTATTGGCTGCCCAGCTCCACTATTGATCATGTAATACGATGCAAGAACCTGGTAAAACTGAACTTGTCTGGGTGCCACATCACTTCTCTCCGCCTCTCAAAGATGCTGTCCGCCCTCCAGCACCTGCGTTCCCTGGCGATAGATGTAAACCCGGGTTTCGATGCCAGTCAGCTAAGCAGTGAGTGTAAAGCCACTCTTAGCCGTGTCTCGGAATTGAAGCAAACCCTTTACACCCCGTCATACGGTGTCGTTCCGTGCTGCACTAGCCTTGAGAAACTGCTGCTTTACTTTGAGATCCTTGATCGCTCGCGAGAAGGTTTTATGCTCTCCGGGCAGCTAATGGTAGGTGAGAGCAACGTGCCCCATTACCAGAACCTTCGCGTCTTCTATGCCAGGCTGGCTCCTGGCTACGTTAATCAGGAGGTGGTGAGACTGTACTTGGCGGTGCTAAGTGATCGGACGCCTGAGAACCTGCACGCCTTCCTCATTTCTGCCCCTGGTAGTTTCGCTGAGACTGGAGCCACTAAAAACCTCCTGGACTCCATGGCTCGAAACGTACGCCTGGATGCTTTACAACTGCCCAAAGCCTGGATTAACGGCTCCGGGCTCCTGCAACACTTGAAGTTCAACAACCCTTTCTACTTCAGCTTTAGCCGCTGCACCTTATCTGGTGGCCACCTGATCCAGAGAGTTATTAACGGGGGGAAGGATCTTAAAAGCTTGACCAGCCTGAACCTCAGTGGCTGCGTTCACTGTCTGGCTCCAGAGTCCTTGTTCCGAAAAGCAGAAGACGACATTGACAGCAGCATTCTGGAAAGCCTGGTAGTGTCCTGCTGCAACCTGCGACACCTCAACCTCTCCGCAGCTCACCACCACAGCTCAGAAAGCATAGGGAATCATTTGTGCCAGCTTCTGTCCAGGCTAAAGCACCTCCTCTCGCTAGCACTCCCAGTTTGTTCCATCACAGACGTTGCTGCAAACGTGGAAAAGCCTCCCACGCAGCCCAATGCGGCACCCCAAACCTTTGGAAAGAAAGTCCGGGTGGGGATACAGACGTACCCGAGGAACTTAACGGACCAGGCGAATCAGAAGATAGAGTCTTCGGTGTTCTGGACTCTGATGGGAAGCCTCCGCTTTTTGGAAACCTTGGAAATAATAGGGTCCAGTTTTTCCTCTGCCATGCCCCGCAACGAGCCGGCCATTCGGAACTCGTTGCCTCCTTGCGTCCGGGCGCAAAGCGTGGGGGATTCAGAGGTGGCTGCCATTAGCCAGTTGACTTATTTGCAGAGCCTCACCCTAGCACAACTGCCAAATATCATTACTGGTTCTGGGCTCGTTAGCATCGGATTGCAGTGCCAGCATTTGCGGACTCTTTCGCTGGCCAACCTGGGCATGATGGGGAAGGTGGTCTACATGTCTGCTCTCATGGACATGCTGAAACACTGCAAGTGCTTGAGAGATCTCAGGTGAGGGGCTGCCATCGAACATCTCCGTTTTCTTTGTGGAGCTCCAGAAATGGAGCGCGTGGTTTGTGTAAAAACTGCAAGTGTTCCTCTTCTGATCGCCCTCTGTTCAAAAAAATGGGTCAAAAGTTGCTGCAACGGCTTGCAAACTGGTTGTTTTCTTTCCAGAGCTGAGGAGCACAGGAAGGCATCTCGTGCTGTTCTCGAGGGCTCAGGATATGCCTTTTAACCAGTGTTTTAAGCGCTTAAAGTCTCTGTGCTGCAACTGCCTTCCTTTTAGATAAGGAAGAGTAGACGCAGCATATTTGGGAGCTAGCTGTCAGGGCTAGGTTAAATGTTACGTGCCTTCGCTGACTTCTTGGCTTTGTGTACACGTACATCTCCTAAACTTCCAGGATGGAAGAGACTCCTACAATGTCTAGATAACTTAAAGCCCTATTGCAATATTTTTCTACCTTTGGCCTGTATTTTAAAACCACCATTTTTTTTTTAAATTATTTTTTAATTTTATTTCTCCCCCCAAATCAATTTCTGTTGGTGAAACCAGCAGACCCGTGAGGTCTGGTCATTATCCATTCACAAAAGAGGTCTAAAATGCCCAAGAACAGTAAAAACAAGGTCATCCTCTCATGGTGCATGCCTGTGACCACAAAGACAGTTAATTACAGCGTGACTAAAATCACTGCTCGTCAGCTGAGGCTGCTGTTTGTGTGCATGATCCCAATCCATCCCAACAGTGGAGGGGTAGCTGAAACCCCTCTTGTTTTTCCCTTGCCCACCACGTCCCGTTTTCAGGAGGCGAGGAGCGTTGCTCTCATCCCAGGGACAGCAGCTGTCGGAGATGCTCTTGGAGATTCAGTTGCTTAATGCCTCGGGTCACGTGCATGGATATTTATTTATCCTTGAGCAGGCTGAATGCCCTTGGAAGAGCTGAGATGAGGGGAGGGAGGCTCGGGCGTGCAGCGCTGCTTCTCCCAGCTCCCAGAGCCTCCGAAATGGAGGCTGTGGGCGCTGAAGATGGGAGGCAGCGCACAGCCTCCGGGAAGGATGAGCGAGGGAGTCTCCTTGTGACAGCCAGGCGATTCAGGGGGAGCTCTCGTGGTTCCTTGGGCGAAGCCTAAGGTTTTAAATAGGTTTAAAAGGTTTTTAATGCTCAGCGCTTCCTCCTGATAATGCACTTTTTTTTCATTTAACTAATCCTCTGGTGCATCTCCCCCTTTTCCCCACCACACCTTCCAGGCTGAGCATTAGTTTCAGGGCTATTCCAGAGCAACATTGTCATCTAGTGAGCGAGAGGCAGTACTGCAGCGTGTCCCTACAGGGATTAACCTAAAAACCTGCTGTAAGGTTGTGGGGGCTTCTGTGCTTTGTCCTAAACCGATTTTGGGCCAGTAATGCTGCTGAAAAATTGGAGAAGCTTCCTGTTTCCTTAATATTCGTTTCAAGCTCTTGCTCAAGGAGCTGGCGGGCTGTTAGGATCTCTTCAGGTGTTGTAAACTGACCCCCACGGATTGTTCCCACCTGCTGGATTCACCTTGGCAGAGCTCTCGGCCCCGCTGACCCAGTGACTGGGGAGCCCACGTGCTCCAAGGTCAGGGTCGTGTTGGGGTTTGCTGCCAGCTGAGGCACAGACCCCTCGTTGGGGGTATCCAGGGCAGGAAAATCCAATCTCTGCTCCCCGGGCTGAGTATTTAAGGTAAAGTTTGCATCAATTCTCCATAAAATAGTATCAATTCTTTCCCGTCCTCTGACCAGGCAGGGCTGGAGGTGGTCACAGCTGGCTCAGAGGCACGAGGTCTGTATCACCACGTGCACATTGTGAGTTTTTCACGCCTGCTTCTCTCCAGGCAGTAAACTAAAGCTAACCAGAGCAGGGGTGGGTGTGCTGGGGCCCTAAGTCCCTAAATAAGTAGATGTCAGCCCAGCTTTTCCTACCTGTGCTTGTCCTAAGACCAGCATCAGTCTGCTGCTCAGCTTTCAGACCCACCTCACCCAACGTGCCTTTGAGGAACCCTCTCAGGAGCACGGTTACAGCATCGTAGGGCCTTTCTGTGTGTTTGTCCCCCCTGATGTCATTCGAGTGGGATGTCTGAGCTTGCAACATCAGGATTTTGTGCCCTACCGCTGGCACCAGCAGGCAGAAGCTGTGTGTGGAGGTGGAACAGGTTGGTGGACGTTGGCTGCTCCATTTGCCAACCCCCTGCAAACGTGCCATCTTCTCTCTTACCTGAAAGCATCCCTAAGCCCCAGCTGCCCCCTGACTTGTTTCTCTTTCCTCCCGCAGGCTGGAGCAGCCCTACTTCAGCGCGGGCGCCCAGTTCTTCCAGGCGCTGAGCCACTGCTCCTCTCTCCAGAGGCTTTGCATCGTCTCCCGGAGCGGGACTCTGCAGTCTGACGCAGTGATGTCATTCATGGCCAGCTGCCTCGAGGTCGTCATGTGCCACATGTTTATGGGAGAATCTCTCACCGTCTGCAGAAACCTCCAGCAGTCCATTGTCCGGAGGTGAGTGAGGAAAAAGGGGTGGCTGTGGGATTTCTGGAGCTACTCGAGGTTTATCTCCCGTTTCCTGGCTTGGAGCACTTGTTCTAGGAAGCTAATAGGTACCGTGTAACTGCTTGGAGCACGAAATAGCCTCTTAATTTCATAGGAGTCAATCAGTGAAACGTTTGAAGTTATTGTACGAATTCTTGATTCCGTTCCCACCCGCGTTCTCTGCAGCTCCATCAGCTGAAGTTCTGGATGTACGGCCCCATCATAAATCAAACGGCACTTCTTGTGTAAACAAAACATCTGCCGACATTTGAAGCACTGAGAGGTTTGACCTTGAAGCTTTCCTCCTTTCCCACAAGTGACTGAGATAATTCTTCGTCCTCTAATCACTTGTAAATGTCACTTACTGATAATCCCCTGCTAGTACAATTCAAAGCCTTTTTAAAGGGTTGTTGTGAAGGGTTTTTCTTCGGCGGAGAATAAGGGGGGGGGGAAGAATTGGTACAAACTGCCTTTGCACGTTTGGCAGTTCTTAAATGCATTTCGCTTGGCCCCTTGCAGTGCTCTGAGGCTCACGTGGTGGGAAACGTTTGTGTGAGCCGTGAACTGCATTTGAAAAGAGAGCTTTTAATTACTCCTGGCATTTTGGAATCGAATAGCGGCAGTCATCTAACAAAATATTTCCCATGCAGCAGACTCTCCATTATTATTTTTCTTCTATCAGGCATTTTCTCCACCTTCGATCTGTTTTCTTTCTCACCCACTGTTGCTTTGCCCTGTTAAGCTCTAACAAAAATTCCGAATCGCACGGCGTGGTTACTGCGTCCTGAGGGGTGCTCCTCCCCCCAGCCTTTCTCCAGCTCCAGCCTGACTTATTACTCTTGGCTCGTTTCCGAGGATCGGATCCAGAAGAGCCTATGACTACATCAGCTACCTCTTGAGCTGCACACGGGATTGCTTGTTACAGCCTCTAGAAGGCTCCCTGTTCTTTTGGGACAGTGATTGTCGGAAACACCTACATGAATCCCTTGTCAGGGATTCCTTGGGTTTGTATTTTTACAGGGCTTTGTATCGGTAAAGTCAGTCCTGGGTTGGTTTTGGTAGTGCTTTGGGGATCCTTAGAAAGAACCCAGAATCCACAGTTTCTGGTTTTTATTCTGCCTTCCTCCCTGAGATGCCTTTGCAGCACTGGCCAACATTTTAACATCTGCTTACTGAGCAGAAAAATGCTGTTCTGCAGTCTCTTCCTCCTCTCTTCCTCTGTTGTGTATGGATTCCCACTACATTCTGTACCTCTTAATAATTTAAACCCTGGGAACTTTCCAAAGAGCAGCTGATGCCTCATGAAAATGTTAAAAACTGCTTTTATATTTAGCAACAGTTCTGGCTGTCAGACTATTTCTCTCCTTTTGTGTCTTATTAATAGAGACGTTTGTATGAAAACAGAATTTTTGAAGTTCTTTTTTTCTGAGCAGAGCATCTGCTCCCACTGCAGATCCTGCACCTGAAGTCATAATCCTCTGTGACACTGTAATTGGTGGCTCTGGAAACGATTTTGATGCCACGTAAGATTATGACTTCAGGAGGAGGAGAAGCAGTGGGAGCAGATGCTCTCCTAAGCAACAGAGATCCCGTTCTCATGCAACTGTCTCCAGCAATAACACGGAAGGAACAAAATACAGAAAATGATGTGTAAGCAAAGCCTGGGGTCTTCCACGAGCCATCAGCGAGCCTTTAACCACCTGATTTTCCCAGCGATCCTGTTCTCGTCCTTGCGTAAATGTGCCTCCTGATGGGGGTCAGGAATTGACTTCCTCTTGCCTGCGTTTTATCTGCTGCTCCAAGGGCGAGGAGACATGCAGTAAAATCCCTTAGCAAGCTAGTTCATGACTGAAACCCGTGGAAAAGGCTCTAGAATGAAAGAAGGTGGCTTTTTTTCTTATTTTTTGGGGGGGGAGGGATGTGTGCAGATGCTGTGCGTGCAGGGAGAACACGAGGGATGAGTGGGAAGGAGGAGGTGAGAGCAGGGAAGGCATTTTTGCTCCCCTCCCTTGGAGCTGGGGGAATGGATTTGTATTCCTCAGGTCCCGCTGTGGGGCAGAGTTCCTGTTGTGGGGCTGTGGAAATGATCTGGTTTAGGCTGAGGGCAGCCAAGTGACTGCAGCTTGTGAGCAAGAAGGTAGGGCTGAAATCACCCCCGTTCTCCCAACGCCTCCAAAAAGAAACGAGAGCGAGGGGGTCCCCTAGGGCTGGGTGTATGCAGCGATTTGCTGCAGGTGGCAGGGCTGGGAGGGCTTGAAAATGCCATCCAGTGCCGTGCAGTTCTTTTCCAGATGTGGATTCACAGAGGGTTTGGCTCACAGAAGAGGCTGGGACCGATTTGTGGAGGACAGTTTTCTACCACAGACCTCTGCTGGAAGCTATGGTGATGGGAGCTCAGGTATTGAACCTCCAGCTCCACACCGATGGCTTAAAGCCTGAGCAGATTCTCAAACTCTTCCCCTTGCCTGTAAAATAGGATGGCATTATCTGTTTCTGCTCTCCTGAACTGCAAAGAAAGTTGTTCTCGTGCCTTTTAGCCTTGTGACAGCTCCAAGCTGGGCCTGGTGCTCTCCAGCTTTCCTGCGGGCAGTCTTCTGGCTGCAGCTCGCTGCTGTTTCAGAGAGGTTAGTTCGTGTTTCAGTCCGTAAAAAGCCTCTGATTCAGTCCTGCCTCTTTTGCAACGGAGCACAGTAAGCAGAAGAGAATTCGTCTGGAGCCCTCATCAGCAAACAAGAGGCTTGCAAGGGCAAGGTCTCCTCTGAGCCTGGGAGACGACGGTTTCCCTCTGGGCAGATAAATCATTGCAGCGTTCTTCTTTCTTCTTTTTTTCCTCGACGTGGAGGGGAGGGGTAATTTTTATGGTTCAGGGACATCCTCGGTGCACGTGGGAAGGGACCCAGTGATTAGAGGGGGGCATGCAGCCTGGGTGAGCCATGTCCACTGCCCCCATCTGCCTCAGCTTTCACATCACACTGGTCTAGGCTCACGGTTTCCCTGTAAAACGACATTTCTCTCTCCATCACATGGTGCTCAGCTGCCGCCGTGCTTCAGATAGCAGCAGATCTCACAACAGCGTTTTCCTTTCTGTGCTCGCACCCTAACTTTGCCAGGGTGCTTATCTAAAAGCACGTGCTGCCTTCGCTTAAATAACTCTTCTGTTAAACCCACTGCAGTGTCACCTCCAACCCACTAAAACCCCATAGTGCCAGGACCCACGGTTATTTTATCTTCAAGTGTAACCCTTTATTTTTTGTTGTACAAAGAATTTCCTTGAAACGAGAGGTTTTCTCCCTTCTGGGCAGAGCTGCAGTGCTGGGGTTCTTTCTAAATGGTTGCAGGGAGCTCCAAGCCGGGCTAACCAGGCGGTCAGAGGAGGGGGCTTGGCTTCGAGCAGCTTTCCCCGAGGATTTTCACACTGTTATATTGAGAAGCAGTCAGTAGATGGAGCTGTGACCTACGGAAGGTGCCCTGCTACTCTGTCCTGATGCGTTGCATGCTAAATAATCGTGTTTATATGCTTGTATTTCTCTGCCTCAAAAATCTTGCGGGAAAAGGAATTTGGATGGCTTCAGCATCGCGCTGCTCCATGGCACGGTCAGCGGGCACCTCGCAAATGTGCACAAGTTGCTCTCCTGGCGGAGCTTGCCAGCAGAAAATCGGCTGGAAGAGGGGATGGGAAATGCTTTGGCAAATGTCCCCTTGGCCTCAAGGACAGATTTTATTTTCCAGTGTGTTCCTTTAGAATTTTTCTGGTTTTAGCTTAAGGGTTTAGATAGCTCCTATCCTTGTAATGACTCCAAGGACTCTGCAGTACCAGACAATACACGCCTGGGAGAAGGCCTTGGAAAAACGCCTTGGAAAAGGCCGAGAAAGCAACGGTTAAATTTGAAAGAAAACAACAAAACCCACCACAAAGCAAAACTAAAAGTCTCAGGGAGACTTAAGGGAAAAGTGTCCAGGCACAGAGGTGAGTTGTGACTTAGAGGAGTGCAATTCAAGAGAAGCCGTGGAAGACGGCGTGGTCAGCAAGCGAAAGCTGTGTTTTGGGGAGGTGGGGGGGCAGCTTGGCCAGCCTGCTCACCTCTCCCAGAGGCAGGGAGGAACCTCCTGGGGTCTGGTAGCTTGTTGGGAGAGGGGACGGAGGCGTGGGGTGCTGGTGCAGCATCCCCCGAGGGCTGGCAGCCCTAGCTCAAGCTCTGTGCCTTTGTTTCCCTCGCCACGCCAGCTACCTGTCTGCAGCAAATGGCTCTGCAAAGTCCCTCTAACACCAGGCCTCGGGATCTGGATGACTGAGGGTTAACCAGTGCTGGGAATTACAAAGAACTTTAATGTTTTAGGACAATCTGCCTGATCTGGGGATCCAAGACATGGAGGAAGAGAAATATTAACTTGGCCCTCCTACTTCTGCCAGCATCAGGTGTGAGCAGCGATTAGTTTGACGTGACTTTCACAATAGGACTCCTGCTACTTTCCAGGAATAGCTATTTCGGTCTGAATTAATCTTACTATTCAAGCGTTTGTCGCATTTTATGAATTTTCCCCTGCTTGTTGTTGTTATTATTTTTTTAAACATGAAACCCTTGGCTGGATCTCTCCTTTCCTTCAGCTGCCGATCCCGGTGCCCCGCGTGGCTGTGACAGCCGTGCTGCTCGCTGAAGGGCTGCAGCACCCTCCTGGGGTTCAGCTGCAGAAACGGGGCTGCCAGGTGGGAGCTTGGGGATGAAACCAAGTATTTGGAAAGTGCTGAGTGAGCCAGCCCCTCTCCTGGCATTTGGCATGGAACTAAACTACTGCAAATGAATTTCTGCTCACATCAGTGCTGTGTGCGTCCCCCCACACCTTGTTGCTATTGCTCTGAAAGCCCCTGCAGCTTCTTTTTCTAGTCAACTGATTTATTCTCCTTGGTGGGCTTCTCACCGTGGGCTCAGCCTCAAGAAAACCCTTCTCGGGTGTTCCTTTCCACTTGTGGA